TCTCAAGGTCTTATCATATCTTATCTCAAGATCTTATCATATCTTATCTCAAGATCTTATCATATCTTATCTCAGGCCCAAGGCCCAAAGTAACCCTAATTCACACTAAGGTACGTGCATTACTTATACGAGATTCATACTCCCACAAACACTAACTTTAGCATCGGAGTCTCTTTTACAGGTACTACCCCATCTTGGAGCACCAGCGTACCCGCGAAGGAGACTCACCAATCTTGCTCGGAAGACCGTCTCTACGATAAATTTCCGGTAAGAACGTATGGTATATATTAATTAATCTTGCCTGTTAATTCCATGAGTGTTCCCTCCTCCCGCTCATGGAATTCCCTGCCTGCCGCATAGGCTTCGATATTTTCTACAAATACTGCTCGCTTGGCCTTTTTGTTCGGGAAAAGATTCCCTGTAGTTCTTTCAAAGCTACATAAAATATCGATCCTCATTTCATTTTAATATTTAATAAATTTAACACATAAAGCATTAAAATTATATATATCAATGGTGAGATTTTTAAACTCTACTGTTTGCACTCTCCATTTTTTTTTTTTTAATTGGAAAGGATTTCTTCGCTCGTCAACTTGTTACAAGTGGATCTCTTTTCATGTTTCTTACAACATTCTTAAGGAAATTTGCGATTTTAAGGACATTACGTTAGAATAATATATATTTTTTCTTGTATCTAATATAAGTATGTTGGTTATACTGGGATATCATATATATGGATATATTTTGTTATTTTTATTAGGATATTTATACACAATTTCAGAATGTAATATATATTATGTATTTTAGTTTACATTCTCGTGATTTTGTTTTTAGACACTATCCAAAAAAAAATATCTAAATTAATAAAATATGTAAATTTTATAATTTTTTATTTTAATAATGTAAAATCTTATTTGTATTATAACACTCTTTCATTAGAGTAAAAATTAAACACAAATGTCTCTACTAAAAAATGTCAATTTATTCATGAATTGAGACATTTTGTAGTACCGTACGACAGCAATTAATGAAATCAAAACCTGTATATCAAACTCACACGCGATAATCAAGTTTTGAATCGATCCCGATTTTATGAAATTGCTAGTTTATAGTAATAGAACAAGAAGAAAAAGAACACTCAGGGCCACAGAGACAATGCGAAACATAGCGTTCTGAATTGGAAAAATAATAAAATAAGAAGTTTTGAATCGATCCAGATTTATGAAATTGCTAGTATACTAATAGAACAACAAGAAGAAGAAAAAACTCAGGGCCACAGAGACAATGCGAAACACAGCGTTTTGAATCGGAAAATAAAAATAAAAATATGACAGCTGTGGGATTTGAACCCACGCCCTTTCGGACCAGAGCCTAAATCTGGCGCCTTAGACCACTCGGCCAAACTGTCTTTTATATGTTCTAAGGCGTTGTTAAAAGTACTTGTAGAGTAATGAATCATGCATTGATCCATATTCAAAGATGTCATTATCGCTCACTGATAAGCCGGAGACTAGACATGACAATCTAACCCGCTCCCGTGAGTACCTGTCCGAATCCGCCCCGATTTGGATGAGAAAAACTCGTATTTATCGGGTTCGGGTTCGGATTTTCCCTGATTGATAAAATCGGGGGCGGGGACAGGGGCGGGATATACCCGCCCCGTTCCCACCCCTCTTAATAATATAATTAAAGGTTATTATTGATTAGTATATACTTGTTAAAATAGTAATCACATAAAAAACTATCGGTTAAAAAGTTTTGAATTATGATTTTAAATTTGTTCTCAAAACAGGTAGTTTAAAATTTTAAAATTAAACTCTACAATTAACTTATAGCTGCATCATAATAACCGGTCAAAACAAGTTAATACCCTTCACTTTTATTAGTACGTTGAACTAAATTTAAAAAACTAAGATTGACCTATAATCAAATTATGATATGATCAGTATTTTAAGTATTTGTAATATAGAAGTTAAATATTTATTATATATAATTAAAATTTATAATAAATTAGATATATTTCAATAAATATTATTATTGAATTTTATATATTGTATTTAAATATTATATTATATTTTATATTTATGATAAACAACTTATATTATAGCACAACATTAATTTTATTTGTTGATATTTGTTTTGAAATATTAAAATTAATACAAATAATTATAATAAATAAAAAATCAAATTAGATACAAAATTTAAAATTTTCTAAAAATATTGAAGAAAAATCTCTATAAAATACTCCCGTATAAGATGAATATTCGTGTTTAATATATAGAAGTTGATTGATAATTTATTTTTAAAAATATTGAAATTTAATTTGTAAATAATTATATAACTAAAAATCAAATTAGATAGAAAAGTTAAAAAAAAATTCTAAAAATTCTCTCATCAAAGAAAACTCCTTAAAAATGTTCTTGTGTAGAATAAAGGTTGATGTTTAATATCTAAGGATTGATTGATAATTTATTTTAAAGATATTATAACTTAATTCATAAATAATTATAAAAAATAAAAAATAAATTAGATAATAATTTAAAAAATTTAAAAATTCTTTCATTGAAAAAAAAACTTTTAAAAATACTATCGTATAAGATAAAAGTTCATATTTAATATATAAATATTAATTTTTATATTAATTTCACTTAATGTAATTTTTAATGTGACATTTTATCTTTATTTTAAAAATATAATGCGTAAATAAACCAAACTCATACTTAATAATTATATTTTAAATCAGGTCATGCCAACATAGATAACCTTTGGAAATACAAATAAATATTAATTGTAGTTGGGCAATACTTTTAAAAAATAAAAATATTTTTTTATATAAACTAAAATCAATCTATGTAATTCAAATTTAACATAAATCTTTTAGGTTGATTTTTCTAAAATTTAATTTGTATAGGTTGATTTTAATTAAAACAACTTAATTTAGTGTATCCCTTTGTTTAATATTTTATAAAAATATTTATAGAAAAATTATCTAAATAAAACTCAACTATTTGGCAGAATATAAAAACAATGGTGAATCACGGTTTATTTTTGTTTAGAAACCAAAATATTGGAGTATATATCTATGCCTGAATGAAGTTGGCTTGAAGCTTAATCATACATTCAATGTAAATTTTAGTTAGAGTAGATTACATGATGAAAGCCCAAGTAACTCAAATGACCCAACACACTTGCAGATAAACCCAAGTACCCAACAGATCACCAAAGGACCAAACTCTTTACAAAAAACCCAAAGTGGTTAAATGATTATTCTTGAGATCCGTTTTGTTTTCTTACAATAAGATCTTCTCTGACTGTATATGGATGGTCAATTTTCGAAGAGTTGAGATCTTTGCGTTACTATCGTCTTTTAAATTCTCATATGCTAAACGGTCATGATATTCAATTATATTTTATTATATATTATCTGATTTAATAATTTTATATTAAATATAAATTGTATAAATTTAACTGTTAAATTAAAAAAAATTCTCTTAAATCATATATATATAATAAATTATATTAATTTAAGATAATTTAATACTTTATTTTATAAAATAAAATTGATATAATATATATTTTAATTTTAATAAAATATAAATATTTTCATTATTTTCAAGTTATTATTTAATTTTAATAAAATTTGATATAAACATATAAAATGATATGAAATTATAATTCAATAACTAAATTTAAAAAATTTATATTTAATATAAATTTATTAAATAATGTAATACTTAATAAAAATTATATCAGTGTTGATTAAATTATATCGGTGTTGATTGAACTTTTTTTTTATATATATATATATGCTTTATATATATATATATTTGCATATATGTTCAAGTAGTGCAAGTAGTGTGTATATATTAACTCTACACAGTTAAATTTATGTCTTTCGATATTATAGTTGTTGAAATATAAAAGTAGAGGTCTGTCAAATCATTATATAATCACACTAAAGTTTTTGTGAAATTATGTAAATACTTCTTACTTTTCCCCTCTTACAATAATCTTCTTCAATTATTTAAAATATATTATATTAACCCTACTTATATATTATATTAATTCCTTAATTATTTACATGTGACTACCATAAAAAAATATTACTATCAACGATAAAAATATGAAATATCTATATAATTTCATGAAATCTCGTGTTGTGTGCATATAATTTACTCTCTGAATTATCTTCTTACCAAAACTATCGGAGACCAAAGCTATATGCAATTTGTTTTACGGATTAATTTAATTATGTTGAACATTCTGGGAGCGTAGATGGTAGTGGCTAGTGGCGGTGCTTTACGAGTTTCCATTATTGAAATATGAAGTCAGAATGGTCACGTTCTACATGTAATGCTGGGCCCCACCCTGATTTTCATTCTTGTACAGCTAGCTTAGCCTAGACAACCATTGCAATTTGCAAATGCAGCCTGGCTAAGGTCCCACTCCCACATTACTTTCTTTTTTCTATTGCTTCATTATTTTCATACTGCATTCTTCTATTTCCTCCTTCACCAATATACCCTTCACCTATTTTTAGCATCCTCTATTCCTTTTCAAAAGTTTACATATAAATTCGTTCAACAGTTTACTCATACATTCACCATCTCTCTCTTTAGAACTCGAATATTACATGAGATAAAAGACGTTAATCATTAACCAGGCAGTCATATATAAATGATAAAAATTAGTTCTTGTTTTGCTTTCACACACAAGTAATTTGAATATAATAAAACATTCATTGAATGAGTAAGGTGATATTTTCTTACAACATCTTTGATTATTTTTAATATTATATGTTTAAAAACTGTTTATTTATCAATTCTTTAACCCAGAAAAATTTTACCCAATCAAAACCATTATGTTTTATGTGCTAGATAAATAGTAAAGATTCTTTGGGGTCTTGTGCACGTGAAAGGGCACATTTGTACAATCGACTCACGCATAATAATTAAATAAACAAATAAATTATTAGCATCAATCTAAGCATAGCAGAACAATAGCATATGATGTCACAACTGGATGTCCTAATATCATTTTCAAAGACATGGTCTTTTAATGAATTGCCCCTTCTCGATTTCTGAGATCCAGCTGAGAAACCCTCCACTCTCGAGTCCAAAATGGATGCAAGAGGCTCTTCTTTAGTGTTGGCGATTATTTTCCTTGCAGCTATTGTGGCTTCATCAGAAGCAGCTGTGTCCAAGGGATCTTTTGAGGATAATTTCAGCATAATGTGGTCTGAGGACCATTTCACTACCTCTAAAGATGGACAGATCTGGTATCTCTCCCTAGACAAAGACACAGGTACCAAATGCATCACATTAAAATTAACATACACATTATTTTGTTGAACATGCATTATGATTTGATATCGAGGACTTGAACTGTTAGCATCAAATTTGAGTTCTGAGGATGTTTCTGAAGCATTCACTGTTTGATAGGATGTGGATTTCAAACAAAACAACGCTACAGATTTGGGTGGTTCAGTATGAAGCTGAAGTTGGTAGCAGGTGACTCTGCTGGTGTTGTGACAGCTTACTATGTAAGTGTATAAAGCATTCAAATATAGTAACTAGTATATTTTTTCTTTACTTGAGTAGACACTGTTATTATTTTATGATTCCATTGAGATGAGTGGGGAATTGTTGCAGATGTGCTCGGAAAATGGTGCAGGGCCGGAGAGGGATGAGCTTGATTTTGAGTTTTTGGGAAACAGAACTGGGGAACCTTATTTGATTCAGACAAACGTGTACAAGAATGGGACTGGTGGGCGTGAGATGAGACACATGCTATGGTTTGATCCCACTGAGGATTACCACACCTATTCCATCCTCTGGAACAATCACCAAATAGTGTAAGTTCCTTAAGTTTCAATGGTAATAAATGATGCTACTTAAAATGGGGCTTTAAGCTTTACTCCTTTAATCACTTTGGCCAATTGGTATAGGTTATTCTTAATGTTGCCAATTTTTTAAAATTGTATATGATTTTATAATTTAATTCAAATATATTGATAGTGTATAGACTTTTTACATTATCATCCTTTCACATATGGCCATAAATGATGCATATTTACATTGCATGAATGCTAATGTTATGTACTTCTTTGTGAGATGTGGTAAATGTTTTAACTGACTGAATGATGCAATTAATTGTAAACAGGTTTTTTGTGGATAGAGTTCCTGTGAGGGTGTTCAAGAACAATGGGGAAGCAAATAATTTCTTCCCCAATGAGAAGCCCATGTACTTGTTCTCCAGCATATGGAATGCAGATGATTGGGCCACAAGAGGTGGGCTTGAGAAGACAAACTGGAAATTGGCCCCATTTGTGTCATCCTACAAGGACTTCAGTGTGGATGGTTGCCAATGGGAAGACCCATATCCAGCCTGTGTCTCAACCACAACCAAAAATTGGTGGGATCAGTATGATGCATGGCACCTCTCAGATGATCAGAAAATGGATTATGCTTGGGTTCAGAGGAACCTTGTCATCTATGATTATTGCAAGGATTCTGAACGTTATCCAACTACCCCAGAGGAGTGTTCATTGAGTCCATGGGATTAATATACCAAGGGAAACAAATCATTATTGTTTTAAATCTCTCTTTGCTGCCTCATATTTTTTTAGTTACTTTGAGAATAATGTGCAGTTTTGTATTTTGCAAGGTTTTAAAGTTTGACAATTATATATTGAAACATTTATTCGATTCATTAGTCATTACCCACTCCAAAATCCAAATCTCAACTGTCCCCCAGCCCCGGCCCAAACCAAAGAATAAAAATAAGACATAAGTGGGCTAAACAAATTGGACTTGAGAGAGAAAATTGGCAAAGGAAATCAAACATTTTTTAACAACCAAAGTCATCAAGAGTTCACAATTTTTTTTAATAATTTGTGCTATATTTTACATTTTAACAACTTGACTAAATATCACCTATATTTTAAAACGTATGTTTTTTTAAAATAATTATATACGAACTAAAATTTTAGTCTATATATTCTACTGGTTAAATGTATTATTATATACAATTAAAATTTATAATAAATTATATATATAAAAATTTATATAAATAAGTACTTTTGAACATATAAATTATATTTTAGATATATGATTAATAATTATCATTTTAATTATTGATAATTTATTTTTAAACTATTAAAATTTAATTTACAAATAAAAATGATAAATAAAATTGAAATATATAAAAGGTTATAATTTTATTTAATTATAACTATTATTAAAAGTTATATATTACATCAATAAATAATGTTAGATCTGATTATATTTTATACATTATTAAGTTTTTGTCGGATTAAGAATGACTTTCTCAAGTTAAACACATTCTAATCCATTTTACCAACGCCTCTTAATTAATTACCACATTATTGGGAAAAAAAAACTTCATATCGTTGTTAGAAGATTTTTTTTTTTTGTAGCATATATATATATATAAATTTTTTTTAAGTAATTAGATTATTATCACATGAAATGCTTGAAACAATCAAAATATGTTTAATTAGTAATTTCTAGTTTAAATATTCGATATATAATTATGCTAAATATGGGATGAGAAAATTTTGATATCCGACTTAAACATAATTAATTTTTTTCTAAAGATATTTGGTGTCCGCGCCAAATTAATTTTTCTTCATATAAATTTTGTTCTTAATAGATTTTTATTTGATATTATATTTTTTTATTCAATTGTGTTTAGTTTTTTCAGGATTAGCATTAAATTAAAAATATTATAATTTTAAATTGATAACTCGTACCGTACTAATATTTAAATTGATACAGTTTCACTATTAATTCATTTTTCACACATGAATTTCATTAATAATTCTAAGAAAAAAGATGGACCTTATAAGAAAAAAGGTTAAGATTTTACTAACTATGTCTCCGTTGGACTATTAGTTAAAGAAATGACGAAAAAAAAACTATACTAATAATGTATATAAATTAAATTCTTTATAAATAATCAGTATATAATATTCATTATAAAAAAAAGTGTATGCGAAAAGGGTAATTTTGTCATTTCAGGTTGAAATTATTCGAATCTTTCAATATGACGGAGGTGAGTCGCGAGATTAAACGACACGACTGAGCCGAAAGGGGCGTAGGGTTTTGTCGTGGTTAGGGATCTGAATTTTGATTTTGAAAAAAAGGGTTAAAACCCTATTTTGGTCTCTTATAATCTTTTTTTGTTTTAATTTAGTCCTTCATTAATTTTTGGTCTCAATTTGGTCCCAAATTAATTAATTGGTTTCAATTTAGTCCTAAATTAATTAATTGGTTTCAATGTGAGACTTTCCGTCCAAATTGCTTTAACGGTGTTAACTTTTGGCCACGTGGACGCCACGTAGATGCATACGTGGAGATTTTTTTTGAAAACACCTGGACCCAGAACGGCCTGTTCTGAAACCGGAACGGGCCGTTCTAGGTGCACTTTTGGTGTGTTAATTTTGCATCCGGAACGGCCCGTTCCAAGTGCAAAATTAACACGCCCAAAATGCACCAGAACGGCCCGTTCCAGTTTCAGAACGGGCCGTTCCGGTTTTATTTTATTTTTTTATATATAAAATATTAATAATTTTATAAAATATATATTATTAATTATATTTTAATTATGTTATTATATCCAATAAAATAAATATATTAATTTTTTTTTATATTTTATTTTATTATGTTTATCTTATTAATTTTTATCATTTTATTCCTTTAATCTTAAATAAGTTGCAAAAAATTATAAAGTGATATTCCTTTTATCTTATTAATTATTATATTTTTTAATAAAATTAATTAAGAATATTGGTTTAATTGCATTTTTTATCCCTCAAGTATTACAATTGTGCAGTTTTGTGATCTCCAAGATTTTAATTGCATAATTTTAGTCCTTAAAGAATTACAATTGCGTGATTTTGGTCCTTCAATTTTTAATTGAACAATTTTAGTCCCTCAAATATCATAATAGTATGATTTTTGTTTCTCCCATTAAAAATTAATAATTTTAATATATATATATATATATATATATAATGTTTTAAAATTAAATAATTATTTATCTATTCAAATTAACGTATATTATAATTTTCGATATTATATCAATAATATTATTAATATATTTATAGATAAACTAATAATTTGATAAATATAACTTGTTATATATTAATATACTTTTACAAAAATATAAGTATATTAATTAGAAATATATATCTGATCTTATATATTTATATTTTTGTAAAAGTATATTAATATATATTAAGTTATATTTATCAAATTATTAGTTTATTTATAAAAAGGGTAAAAATATTATTGATATTAATTTATCAGTAATATTAAAATACTAATAATATATAAATTTTATTTATTTAGTAATAGTAAATATATATCATTTGATACATTTTAAAAAATAATATACGTTAATTTAAATAAACAAACAATTATATAGTTTTAAAACATTATTTATATATATATTAAAATTTTAAAATTATTAAATTTTTAATGAGAAAGACTAAAATTCCACAATTATGATATTTGAGAGATTAAAATTGTTCAATTAAAAATTGTGAGACTAAAATTACACAATTATAATCTTTTAAGGACTGAAATTACTCAATTAAAACCTTAGAGATCAAAATTGCATAATTATAATATCAAAAACACAATTAAGTAAAGAATATTTTATTCACAGTTCTGGAACGGGCCGTTCTGAAACCAGAACGGCCCGTTCGGATTTCAGAACGGTCCGTTTTAAAAGAAGAACGACCCGTTTTGATTTCAGAACAGCGCCCGTTCTGATTCACTGGTGATGTTTTAATTTTGCAACCAGAACGGCCCATTCCGGTTTCAGAACGGGCCGTTCCGGGTGTATTAAAAAGAATTTTCTCATCCACGTGGATGCCACGTATGCATCTACGTGGCATTCACGTGGCCAAAAATTAGCTCCGTTTAAATAATTTGGACGGAAGTCCCACATTGAAACTAATTAATTAATTTGGGACTAAATTGAAACCAATTAATTAATTTGGGATCAAATTAAGATAAAAAATTAATGAGAGACTAAATTGAAACAAAAAAAGATTATAAGGGACCAAAATAGGGTTTTAACCTTAAAAAAAAAAAGTGTATGCGAAAAGGGTAATTTTGTCATTTCAGGTTGAAATTATTCGAATCTTTCAATATGACGGAGGTGAGTCGCGAGATTAAACGACACGACTGAGCCGAAAGGGGCGTAGGGTTTTGTCGTGGTTAGGGATCTGAATTTTGATTTTGAATCGAATAATTCTGAATCAATCAAATCAGTGATCAGAGCCATTAACGATTGCAATGGTCTGCGAGAAGTGTGAGTTTCTGCAACCCTTACTTCTCCTTCTTTATCTCTCCGTCAAAATTGAATTTGTTTTTATTCATTTGAATTTGGGTTGCAGGTGAGAAGAAATTATCGAAGGTGATAGTACCAGACAAGTGGAAAGAAGGGGCCAGCAATACTACCGAGGGTGGTGGCCGCAAGATCAACGAGAACAAGCTTCTCTCCAAGAAAAACAGGTCCTCTTTAACCCTATTAATTTTACATAGTTTTATTTTATTTTTTCTTTTTCAATTTTATGTTAATTTCAAAAATGGGTTTAGGAGGCATAGCTTGGCTCTGTCACTTGTATATTTTCTTATTAGCTGCAAACATGTTAAAGTGAGCAGTGAGCTTTTCTAGTTCCATAGCAAAAACTTTTGAATGTAAATTACTTGACACTTGCTCGATATGACAAAAATTTGGAGATTTTGGAATAAAAATCTCTTTGCACTGGAAAACTATTTCCATGCAGTCCTTTATTTTCACCTTTGAATCTCAATAACATGTATGCTACTACATTTCATTTACAATTATGTCACCACATACTTGGTTTGATGGTTAGAATATATATATATATATATATATATATATATAT